ATGTATATGTTTGTGTGTATGTCATCTATGAGCATGTATCTGAGGAGGTCAGCAAAGGGCTTTGGATCCCCGGGAGCTGGAGGTTCAGGTGGTTATGTGCCGTCTTATGTGGGCACTAGGAACTGAACTCCGATCTTAGGAAGAGTGTCAAGTACTCTCGACTGTGGAACCATCTCTTTTGGTCCCCGAGATTCTACTTTTTAACAAGGTCATTAAATATCTTGATATTCTTCAGAAATAATTTAATTTCCATTTAAATAGCATGCTGAGGGAAAGCACAGAGCTTCCCAAGATGTCTAGGTTCATTGAGACCAGCTAATGGTTTTCTAAATAGCAGTAATTAGTGAGCTATAGTCATTGGGGACATAAAAACACATTTGGATACCTGATTTGGATCCCCCTTACCCTTCTTGAGATAGGCTCTCCTGTATCCTAGGATGGCTTCCAATTCCCTATACAGTAGAGACTGGCCTTAACTCCTAATCCTGGTTCTACCTCTTGAACAATGGGCTTACAGTCATGCTCCCTTACAGTCAGTTCATGTGATGCTGGGGAGGTGCTCAACCACACGCTCTACCCCAAGGCACTTGTTAAGTGCCCAGGCCAGCCTCCACTGCCCTGCCTTCTCAGCCTTCCCAATAGCTGATGCAGGTCTGTGCGCTTAACAGTTTTAAAATTCAGGCTTGTTCTAGACTTTCAGCAGGTCTCTGTATTTCCTGTACCCTGTCGTGTACTTCCTTACAAGGTTACTAGTAGACATGGTTACATCCTAGGCATATGTTATTGTTATTAATATCAATATAACTTGTGCTGTGTCATTCTCTTAGAGTTTTTTTGTTTTGTTTTGTTTTGTTTTTGTTTTTGAGACAGTTTTGTGTAGCACAGGCTGGCTTTTGATTCCCTAGTGTAGCCAAGTTTGGCTTTAAACTTCTGATCTTTTACCTCCTGAGGTTATAGGACTATCATCATGTCTTGTTCATTCTTATGTCAAAATTACATAGCACCATGTTTATTTGAGTATTTGATTTCTCAGTGCTTTTGCTCCCCTCCTCTCAGGAGGCAGACACTGTGTGTTCATAGCTGGATTGTCAGGGTTTACAGGGTTCACATGATAAAGTCTTCTGAATGAAGACATTGTCCATTTCAGAAAGACCTCACCTTTAACCAATGACTGAGCCCTCACAGGATGCTTGGCCAGCTATTTTCCTTAGTGCAGAAATGAATGGGTCTGTAGTGAAATCCTTTGGGTCCCTTTGTCTTGAGATTCAGTGGTCTGTGCACAGAGAACAGAGAATTCTTAGAGGAGCCTTTACATAAGGCTTTGTAGATGGTAGCTCCTGCTTCCACACAAGGGGCATTTTCCTTTATAGGGGAAGAGGTACAGTGTGGGAATTATGTGGTTTAAGAACCAGTGGGACCAGATAGATGGCTCAGTGCTTAAGAACAGGATCACATGCCCACTGGGCAGCTCACAACCATCTGTAACACCACGGTATCCCAGACCTCTTACAGCCTCTGCAGGCACTAGCCATGTGTGTGATACACAAATGCACACGAGCAAGACATATAAATAATGTCTCATGCAAATAAATAGAAGTAAAGACCAAGGATTAGATTAGGAAAACCCTTTCTGGAGGATTTCAGGAGAGCTCAGTGTAGACATTCTCCCAAGAATTTTCCTTTATTTGATAAGGTCACTTTGAAGAGGCAGACTTAAGTCTTTTGGTGTTTTGAAACAGGGTCTCATAACCAGGCTGGCTTCATTCATGACATAGAACCCTGAGCCTCCTGAGTCTATGTGCTTGTTATCAACACAAACCTAGGCATTTCTTTCTTTTTTTTTTTTTTTTTAAGATTTATTTATTTATTATATATGAATACACTGTAGCTGTCTTCGGACACACCAGAAGAGGGCATCAGATCTCATTACAGATGGTTGTGAGCCACCATGTGGTTGCTGGGATTTGAACTCAGGACCTCTGGAAGTGCAGTCAGTGCTCTTAACCACTGAGCCATCTCTCCAGCCCCCAAACCTAGGCATTTCTGAGAGGAGGGAATCTCTACTGAGCAATGGCCTGTGGGCATGTCTGTGTGACCATCTTCTTGGTTGTTGATTGATGTGAGGGAGGGCCCAGCCTGCTGTGACAGTCCCATTCCTGGGCAGGTAGTCCTGGGAAGTATAAGAAAGACAACTGAATGTGGGCTGGGAAGCAAGCCAGGAAGTAGCATTCTTGCCTCTGTTTCTGCTTGAGATCTTGCTCTGACTTCTGTCAATAATGGACTCTTATGGGAACATGTAAGCAAAATAATAACCCTTTCCATCCTAAGTTGTTAAAGTTACTTTTACAGTAAGTTGCTTTAAAAAGTGAACCAGGACCCTCCTACAAGCTGGGAAGAGGTTTGTGCTACCCTGTCTAGCTCATAGTTTCTGAATTTTGAAAGCCTGGATCATTGTCAGTTCATCACTAAGTCATTTTTGACTAACACATTAGCTCGTACAGACAGGGCCCTTATTACACATGTTTCTCGTATCTCATGCTTCATGTTCCAGAGCAGTGGGCCTCAACCCTCCTAATGCTGTGGCCCTTTAACATAATTCCTCATGCTGTGGTGACCCCAACCATAAAATCATTTTGTTGCTACTTCCTGTTATTTTGCTACTGTTAGGAATCATAATATAAATATCTGATATGCAGTCTTAATGAGTGTGGGATGAGATGGATTCCAGAGGTTAGAAACATACACGGGGAAACATGGAACAGTCACATACGGGGCAGAGAACAGCCTCTGAGATGCAGGGCTCATTGTGGTTCCTTGTCCTTTCCTGCTAAGGACTCTGGGCTGATATGAACAGTCTGTACTCCCTCACTAGGGAAGGCTGGGAGAATGCCACCTACTCCAGCCATAGCTGGCTCCTAGAGCCCATGTCCAGGAGCAGCATCTTATGTTTTAACTGGACATCCACAGTTGGGATGATCAGAAGTGACCATAGGTGGGGAGGGGCTTTTCACAAGTGCCAGCTTGGGCAGATATGGCTGCTGCCTTACCAAGCTGCACGGTTACATCCACCAGGCAGAGGGCCTGCTCTTCCTGAACATGTGGCAGTAGACCCTGACTCTGCACCTCCCTGTGAATGCTCTCCAAATCAAAAAAACAGATGCACCCCACTTCCGTTGCCCTGCTCTGCCTGCAGTTGTTGCCGTGGCCTTCCACTCTAGTTCCCTCCTCAGGCTCATGGAGGTTCGGAGGACCAGGTGCCAAGTCCAGTGGCCAGAAGGAATTTAGCCATTTGTCTTTGTACCTCAGAAATCCTTGAGGATCTGAGGCAGACCAGTTGGTGCTCTGGGTAGTGGTGCAGTGTGGTAGATTCAGAGAGGGTTCAGCTTTCCAGCTAGAGGCTGTTTGAATGAACTAGGTGACAGCATACTTTCTAGGTTGGGTTAATGGCCATGTGGCGATGGGTGTGGAAGGATAAGGTGGACAGTTCCTGTTAGCTATGAAGCTGTGCTAAGGAGAGCGGGTGTTGAGTTTGTTCTTCACTCTGTTGGAGTATTTAACCATACAGTAGGTAACTAGCATTACTGCCACCCTGTTCTTTAGAGCACTCATTTGCCAGTAATTCCCTCTCCCTCTCCCTCTCCTTTATACTATCTCTGAAATTGGGCCTTATGTAGTAGCCTCATTAGCCTAAAATTCACAGTAGCTCTCCTGTCTCAGCTCCTCCCAAATGTTGATTACGGGTCATCTTCCCTGCCCAGTTGTAAATCTCTATTAGTGGAGAAGTTGTAAATGCTGCCACCTGTTGACCAAATATGCATGTGCATCCAGTCTACTTTCAGCATCCCTGCTCAGATGGCATCTCCCTGTGTTCTGGGTACTCTCCAGGTCTCAGGGGCTGTCAGCAACCTAGTTTATGGGATATTGCTAACGGCAAGCCAGGCCTGCCTGCACCACTTCAGCTTCTGTGACCGGGTCTCTTCCTCATCCTTGTTACTGAAGGGAATGGCAGTGTGCATGAGTCCAGATTTATATCTTGTTCTTTTCCCACATTTAGAAAACTGCACAGACCTGTAAATTTTGCAGCAACGAATAGTTTCTAAAGGACTAGCTACTTTTGAAATCAGGCTTAACTTGTAGTCCTGACTGGCCTGGAACTTGGAACGTAGACCAGGCTAGCCTCAAACACACCTCTGCCTACCAGTGTTCGGATTAAAGGTGTATGCCACCACATTCAGTCAGGCTTATCTTTTAGATTAACCTTCCTTTTTCTTTCTTCCTTTCTTTCTTTTTCTTTTTGAGGCAGGGTTTCACTTATTTACCGAGATGGCCTGGAATTCACAACTCTCCTGATGTAGCCTCCCAAATAATGGAATCTTTGGTGTTTGCTGCCATTCTCCTGACTTATTTCAAGTGTACCATATGGAGTTCTTAGATTACATGGTATATAAAGTGTAGGTAACGACATCTATTGATTCAAGATTTCAAGGCCTATAATTACTTGTGGTAACCTGAGAGTAAATAACAGACTAAGAGCTATAAGGACCAAGATAGGAGTCTGTGCCAGGTGGTGGTGGCGCACGCCTTTAATCCCAGCGCTTGGGAGGCAGAGGCAGGTGGATTTCTGAGTTTGAGGCTAGCCTGGTCTACAGAGTAAGTTCCAGGACAGCCAGGGCTACACAGATAAACCCTGTCTCGAAAAAAAAAAAAAAAAAAAAGAGATAGGAGTCTGTATTCTCTCTTGAACAGAAAAGGAAATAGGGAAAGTATGGCTTGCCCAGCAGCACAAGGGGTGGTTAAGACAGTCTTAGCCCAGGCTGGGTTAGTGGTTCTTAGTTCAGTGCAGTCTATTTTGATCATGTGACTCCTTAGACCTAGCGTAGAAGCTGGGCTATAAAAGAGTATATTTACAGAGGTAGATTCTTTGTTAAATCCTTTTGGACTATATAGATTTTAGTATTCCTGGATTAGCAATTGATTTTTCTGTGTGTTTTGGCCCTTAGGATTCCCAAGGACATTAGTGCAGGCAGAAGCCCTGGACAGAATCTGTGATGTGGACCTAGTAATCAGTTTGAATATTCCTTTTGAGACACTTAAAGATCGTCTGAGCCGGCGGTGGATTCACCCTTCTAGTGGGAGGGTCTATAACCTGGACTTCAACCCACCTCAAGTGCTGGTAAGGTACACCGTGCTGGATAGAGGACAGGAAGATTCAGACAGGAGAACAGAAGCCTATCTCATAGAAGCTGATCAACTCTTACAATACCCAAAAAGCTCTTCTTGCCGCGTGTGGCATGCTACATTCCAAAGCCCAACCCCCCAACCGCCGAAGAGCATGCAATTATTACATGTGAAAGTGCATAGCGCTCTCCACCATTCACTGGTGTCGTCCCAGAACTGAGTGGAGTTGTTGTGCTAGCACCGGTGTGCTACTTCTGAAAGAAAGCAGTGCTGTGTTTGCTGGTACTCCAAAGTGAGTGCTAAGTATTGTGGCTCTCAGGCCAGGCATGGCCTCTCCTCTCCTGTCACACCAACACCCCACCTGTGATAATGGTGTGTATTATCACGCATCGTCGGTGTGAATCCCAAGGCCACCAGCTGCAGCAGGATTTCAGTGTGTCATGGTCAGCTTTAGTGGTCCATATGAGGCCCCTGAGTTCCTCCCTAGCCTGTCTTTGCCAGATTCATGCCTGCAGTTTTCCCCATTGAGGACAGCTGTGGGCTTGGGAGCAGAGTTCTGATGCTGCTACCGTGCTGTGTGCAGGCAGCCATGCTTCCTAGAGGATTGAAAGTATGGGAAAGCCAATCTGTTTATGTAGCCCTAGCTTGTCTGGAACACTATGTTATGTAGATCAGGTTGGCCTTGAACTCACAGAGCCACCTGCTTCTGCCTCTGCTGGCATTAGAATGTTTGTCTTCATGGTCCTAGATATTAATATCATGCCTGTTTTGACATTAGGATATGTCATTACTTTCAAAGACTAGTCCATAGCAGTTTGAAAGTTGGCAAAGTTGATACTGAACCAAAGTTTTGTTTTTGTCATTTTATTACAGGTTATTTGTTTATACATATGAATGTGCACATGCGTGGGTGCCATAGCACAGGTGTGGAGGTCAGTTTACAGGGCTTAATTTCCAGCACCCACACAACAGCTCACCTTTTTAACTCGGGTTCCAGGGGTTCTGACACCTTCATACAGACATTCATGCAGGCAAAACACCACTAGACATAAAGAAATCTTAAAATCATTTGTGGGATATGAATCTTTTTTTTTGTTTGTTTTTGTTTTTGTTTTTCGAGACAGGGTTTCTCTGTGTAGTTCTGGCTGTCCTGGAACTCACACTGTAGACCCAGGCTGGCCTCAAACTCAGAAATCCGCCTGCCTCTGCCTCCCAAGCGCTGGGATTAAAGGCATGCGCCACCACCGCCCGGCGATATGAATCATTTATAAAGATGAGAATAGTTAAGATTTAATACCTTTTCAGGACATGAGGTCACAAAGAAGGCCCGGGCCTGTTGCATATGTGGTTGGAGTTCACTTTGATCACGTGGTCGAACAAGAAAGACCTTGGGAATGCCAGTAATGATTGGCCATGTTAATTGGCTTTTCTGGTATTTTAGGGGATTGATGACATCACTGGTGAGCCACTTGTCCAACAGGAAGATGATAAACCTGAAGCAGTTGCTGCCAAGCTAAGACGGTACAAGGATGCGGCAAAACCAGTCATCGAACTGTACAAGTGAGTGTGTGTGTCTCAGTGTATTCATAGTAAGGACCTGCTAGATAATCACAGTCTGGTGGGAAAGCGGGACCTAGGCAGGTGATTTCCTTCTAGCTAAGTGTAAAGGCCCATTCCTCCCAGAAGGTAGATGAAGTGGTGGAGTGGTATATAGGAGGTAAAGTCTGGTGTGCTGATTTCAGAACTATTAGAACATGAGGACTTAAATCTAGTTATCTGTCTGTAAAATTGTCTAGACTTCTGTCCTTTTGGGGGTGGGGTTGGCAGTTGAAATTGAGGTTTCATGCATGTTGTCCAGGTGCCCCATCGCCAGGCTCCAGCCCTCAGCATCCCGAGCCCTCGTTTTCCTATTTAATTGCCTCAGATGTTTTGACATTCGTTTGTATAAATAAGTGATTCAGATAGACTAGGCCTGGCTGGAAAATTATAAATAGATTAGGAGGTGGTACCTGCTTTGACCTTGGATCTTTGCCTGTCCTGATGTGATGTTAAGCAACCTAAATGTTGTTTATTTGGATTGTCTTTTAGGAGCCGCGGAGTGCTCCACCAGTTTTCTGGGACGGAGACTAACAAAATCTGGCCTTATGTTTACACACTTTTCTCCAACAAGATCACACCTATTCAATCCAAAGAAGCATACTGAGCCTGCCATAGGAAGAGCCAAGAAGACATGGTCGCCCACTCAATCACTCGTGTAGTCTTGGTGCCCTGGCCAAATTAGAAGCCAGCTGAGATAGCTTGCAGCATCTTTTCTAGTTTAAGTGATGAAGTAATGAGGAAAATCTAGTAGGTAGAAAGAGTTCAGGAAGAAGGAAACCCTCCTCTCCCTTTGAAAAGAGGCTCTGCAGGTGCATCACGCCTTTCACAGGAAGGAGTATATAGACTGGATTTCCACCAGTGTTGAGCCTACACTCTGGATGGGTTAACAGCCATGTGCTAACTATCAGAGCCTTTTTTGCATGCAGTGGTGGGCTCTCTGGTTTATCCCACCTTCCACAGGCTACTAAACCACAGCACTGTATGCCTGAGAACTTGAAGGGCTGTGGTCCTGCCTCATCCATTGCCATAGCTCTGACAATTGATGCTACTTGCACTCAGTGGTTGCTTTTCCCCAATGACCGATTCTCCCTGGCTCTCAGACATACTCGTTTCTATTGTCTGAATCTTGTTATCTGCTCGCTCCCTTCTCAGGCTGTTCAGTACCATGATGGCGTCTGCATTTACCCCTCTAACTTCCTTTATACAAACTGAGAAGTAGGTGACTGGATTCAGTCTTTTCCTTCTTACTAGGAACTGATCCAAGTAGAAGGCTTACTTGGTTAAACAGCTGCTCTATCTTGAGTCCACTCTGTACCTTTTACTGCTTAAAAAACGATTCCCCCAGTGTCTTCAGGGTTCTCAAGAAACAAGGGAAATGCTTACTTATGGAAATGTGGGTGATTGTATCTTCTGTATAGAAGTAGTAGTAATTGTATGGAAATCACTGGACTAATGAGATGGTTGGGTTCAAGGCAAGATGAGTATTCAACATGCTGCTAAGTATTAACGCTGTCTGTGTTTTTCTTCTGTGAGTGACTAACCAGACAGTGAGAGGTCAGTAAAGGGAGCAAGCCTGAGGGCTTGGAGCATCTTGCACTAGACATACATAGCACCTGCGCTGAGTAAGACAGCTTTACCATTTGGGAACGCAGAATCTTTTTGTTTGTTTTCTTCCTATTCCAAAGATGCAGTCTATAGGTGGCCATAGAGTCCAGAAATGAATATACTAATATTTTATCAGTCATTATATGTCAAGAAAGCATTTGTTAAAAGACTTTCCTTCCTGGATTCCAAACTTGTTGGCCACCTTGTTATAATTTTTACTCTTCTCTGGGAAGAACAGGGAAATGTCTTCCCACTGCCTTAAAAAATGTCCTGCATCTGCCTGTCCCCACGAGGCGATCCTTTATTACTGGTGGTGATTTAATGTGACATCTCATAGCCTGTCTGGGGTCAGGGTGTAGGGTGGGCTTAGCACTTTAGTGATACTGAGACATTATTCCATTCTGAAGATGTCATGTGAATCCCCAGTCCATTCACTGCCATGTATTCTGTGCTAACGAGTCTGTCTGCCTTCCTGTGCTGCCTGGACTCCTGTGGTTCCTCTCAGTTGTCTTTCATGTGCATGTTCTGTGGCTCCTTAGTGGAGATGCAGGCCAGCATCCCCCACTCGTGCTCTCAGTACAGAAAAATAAGCTTCTGAAGTGCAGCTGCTTGGTGCAGGTCTGTGACCATCTGGGCATTGTCATGATGTCGAGCACTTTGGAAGCTTACCTTTGGATGTCACTTGGTAGGGGTTGGATGGTAAAAGCCAAAGCTTCCTGGAGGAGCAGGTCAGGAGTGGGAAACCCTGAGATTATTCCCAGGGACCAAGGGAAGTAGAGAGTTCAAGGGATTCAGGGTAACTCAAGAGAGGTGGGAAAACTTCAAACTTATTTCTTCACCTCTCTTAGAGTCTGAGGAGAGCAATAGGGTATGATCAGGTCCTTGCCTGCACACTCTTGTTTCTCTATGCATTTCAAGCTCAATAGACTACAGTAGCCAGCACTAGGACACCAGGGTCAGAAGAGCAGCAAAGGGCAAAAACATCTTTTCCAAAGTCTTGGGTGATACCATGTCCGTTGGTGTAAAGGTGTTTTCTGCAGCAGACTTGGCTGTTCTTTTTGAAATGATTTTGTAGAAACGGACATTTAATACTGAAAAGGGTCTTGACAAAGGTAGAATGGAAAGAGCATCTGTTCTTCTCAGGCCACACATGGCCTTCCTTCAGGTGGACACCAAGAGTCTGAGTGGTCTCTGAGATTCTGGTCTGACTTTGTGTTCACAGACTCCACCTGACTCCTTATTCAGTTTGCTTCCCACAATCCTCTTGCTTAGAACTTAGGAAAGACTGCATGTTTATTCCTCCAGTATTTATGACAAAAAGGTGCTATGAAGGAGGCCTTCTGAGGGAGGTGCACGCTCTCAGGACCTTTATAAGCATTGTGGTGAATCTTCACAGGCACAACTAATTTTTCCTATAAATAATAGTCCAGGATATGAAGTCTTGCCCCAGGCTCTTCATATGAGTAAACAGTAGAGCTATGACTCAGTCCCAGGTTTTCCTGCTTCAGAAAACTTTGGCCTTTTTACTGGATGTTAGCTGTCTTGACCTAAGCAGCCTGGAGCCATGGGCCTGCTTAGGTTTGCTTGTGGACTCAGGGAGAGTGGCAGACATGACTGGAGTGGCTGTGTGAGGCTATTTCTTTTATACTCTTTGCCTGAGCAAAAGGAGTTGCTAAATACAAGGTGTTAGGCAGGCTGGGTTTGGACCAGGCTAATCTGCCTCAATTCTAGGTGTCAGAAAGCCATGAAGCCATATGAAGGAGAACTGGCATCTACTGGAACATTAAAATTAACCATAAATGTTACCCCTTATTTTGGGTGTGGAAAACTGCACAATTCTTGCCAGAATGAATGCCATCAACTGCCTCAGGGCACTCCTTGGTTTGACTGTTCTGTATGTGGTTGGGTGTGAGGGAGACAGGCTAAGCACAATGTCTTTCAATAAAAGGCTCTGGTTTAAAACCTTGCAAGGAGTACTGCACCTTCTCTCTGGGATTCGGGAAAAGGGAAGAAAAATGGAAAACCCCGGGCTTTGTGTGAACTGCAAGAAATGGTAGGGTTCAAGGCTTTTCTAGTTTCATGAGAACTTGTACTACTGAATTTGCGAATTTTGTTTTTTGAGCTGAACAGATCTCTGGGGGATTATGTTGAGTGTAATGACATTTCACTGTGATCCCCCAAGTTCAAGGCAGTCTTTAACCCAATGTTGGCTTAAGTTTCCCGGGAGCTGACATGTCAACTTTTCTTCAGTGACAGTTGGTGTTCCTATTGATTTTGGCACATGTGCTTAATACAAAGTCAGTTCTGTATATGCTATCCTAACTATTCATTGTATTAATTTTTTTTGTTTTGTTATCTTGCTTGAAGATTGATTTGTATTGAATTTGATAGAAATAAATGTTTTTCTGCTTAATATGAGATGAATTCATTTATTCTTTGGGTTGCTGTTTACAGCCTGTAAAGAGTCACAGGTTCTCTCATTTGTACCACTTGATAGTTCTTCCATTATCCACAGTTGTCAGTAATTTGCAATACAAGGCAAACAATGTAACCTAAAAAAAGTAATGATGGCAAAGCAAACATGCTCCTGGTCCTGTTTGATTTCCTGCTGTATCGTTGCTGCTATGTTCATGTTCCCTCATGTTCCCTGTTTGCTCTGTCCTTCTCCTGTTAAAGCTGGAGCCCTTTGGAAGGTTGGTTGTTGAACTGGGGCTGTGAAAGAAGTACCTTTTCAGAAGGAATCTGAGAAAATGGAGGCACAAGCCCTGGCCTTTTCCAACCCTGGTATGGCCTCCTCGTCTGGGGGCCTTCCAGCTAAAACAAGCTGTAAGCAAGTTCTAAAGTCATGTCTCCAGGAAAGATGGGGAAGTCCATCTGAATAGGATAACTGTGGTAGGTTGTTATGTGGTCAAGATGCTCACACTCCCTCATTTGGAGAGGAGTTTACATCCTTGCTCTCTGGGCTTCTTCATACTTGGGCATTGCCTTGCTGCATGCATTAACATGAATAGACAAATTGTGCCACTTTAGAGCTGATACGGGAAGAGTCAGAGGTCTTGTATGATATGGGCAATGCTATGGAGCTCTTAAGGGGAAAATGTAGAACAGAAATACACCCAAGTCCATAATGGGCCAGTAGTATCTGAAAATAAAATTGGTTTTTAAAAGCCATGGAGATCTAAGTTTAATTTAGCTTTCAAAATATTTGGGTTGTACTTGTATCAGCGAGAGAACTGGAAGTCAGTTCTCTTCCCATGTAGGTCCCAGGGATTAAATTTGGGTCATCAGGTTTGATGGCAAACATTTTTGCCTGCTGAGCCATCTTGCTGGCTCCGGGTTAGTCTATTACTGAAGGATGGCAAAGCCTAAGTGGACAAAGGGAGCTGAGCCTAGATGTGTGTCTTGTCATGCAGTTATTGATTTACCAAACCTCATTATGTTCTAAGCATACAAAAGTAAACCGATTTTTGCCCTTGATGTCCCCAGCTGTCTGGAGAACGTGTTATTAGAACTAACCCACTCATTGAGAGAAAGAATAGCAGTAACTAACTCTTAGCTAAGGAGAGGCCAAGGCATAGTTGATATTTGAGCTGTGTTTTGCTGGAAGGAATCCAGGCAGATGCAGCAGGGTGTGTAGGGAGGAGGTTTGGGTGTGCGTGACAGGCAGGGTGGAGCTACCTCGGCAGCCTGGGGCACAGGTGAGGCGGAATGGGAAAGGCCTTGGATTTTGCTGGTGGGAGACAGTATAGACTGCCAGAAATTATGTCAACTTTACACGACAGGAAGTCACCCAGTCACTGATGTGAGCTAAGGAGTTCTGTTGAAAGGGATGGTTAGACTGTCACAGGAGGGAAAAGAGTACGTGGTTCAGTGGAGAAGTGAGGAGAAGATGAGAAAATGGCTGTAAGCTTGAGAAAGATGCTCTGTGGCAAAATAGTGAGCCACCGCTCCTAGCCTATTGCTGCCACTAGTGGCCTGTTGTGGCCCCGTCATCCACTTTCCTCAGATAAACCGGTACTTCATGTATATTTTAACATTTCAAAAATTTAAACATTGCATTGGCCAAGCAGCAGAACCTTGTGGGCCAATTTTAAGTTAGAGAGGCAAGATAAAGGAATGAGGGTCATCTTGGTGACTAGACCAGTCTGAGATGGGGCTTTGCTTTTGTAATGTTACAAATGGAGAGACAATTAAGAAAAACAATGGCATATCTTAGAATTCTGGGTAATATGTGTCCCGGAGAGGGAGAGAACTGTTGGCTTCAATCACCAGTTTGTCCCACTAGAGTTCAGCTGGGTATATCTGCCCTACTTCACTCTGATTCAGGCTAGCTTTGACCTCTGTAGCAGTGCTCTTGATTCAGCTTGCCGCAACACACTAATTTTAAGCCATGAATCTATGAGCATCTCAGTAATGAAGCAGCAACCATTGCCAGACTTGAGGAAACGCATTTAAATCATGTGTGCTCACAGATATGAATGCAATGGGAGACACTCTGTAGCTGCCTGCGGCCACGAGTCAACTGGGTTCACCTGAAAGGGGGCTGGGAACGAAAGGTGGACAGGGCCAAAAGAGATGAGACCAAGACAAAGTTCTCTGATCAAGGCTCAATACTTTAATGTTCAGCTTCTCAATTTAAAGGGAAAGACCCTGCCCGAACCCTTCCTAGTTTCAGCCGGAAGATGGGTGGGACAATCCGTTCTTCGTCAAGGGTCACGGCCAGAGAGAACTCATGGCAAGCCCAGGGGCAGTTCTTTTAAGTTCTGTGCAGCCAAGGTGGGTAACTCTACCTAGATCCTATCACTTGGTCTGTTGTGGTAAACAAGGTCTCTCAGGCCTACTCAAGGCCAGGGGAAGGGCAGGCGGTCAAATGGCCACGAATCAGTGATAACCTGACTCATAATGAACAGAATGGGAAGTTCAGCCAAACCCGGCCGCTCATTAAACAGTTAAAGAGACTTCTCTTAGGACTAACTACTCCGTTCTCCCTCATTTTCACTCCCACTATCCAGGTACTTCACCACACAACCCAGGAGAAGAAATGGGGTAAAGTGCTATGCCACATGAACTGAGAAGGAACGAAACCATTATGTTTCTCCTGCATCAAGCTTTTTCTTTCTTGACCAGGGTTCTGGGGTCAGTCCCTTTCACAAGCCTGGAAAGCCTCCAATGGAAAGATTGTCTCTTATGTGATCCTGGACTTTATCCCACCACGTAAAGTCATGGAAGAACACAGTTTTCTGACGAGGAGTGATCAGGAATAAAGAGATGAACTGCCAAATCCAGATCTATGAGGCTAGAGCAGCCGCTGTCTTCAGAGAGGTTGTCCACATACATGTACAGTCTAGATCCATCGATTGTAACATTAAGTGTAGCATTCCAGAAATCTGGACACAGTGACAACAGGACAAACAGACTACCTGGAAAACATTGGTCACAGGACTTTTCACAGTATTCTGAGCCAACATGGTTAGGAGGAGGAAGGAAAGCAGTGCTTCAACCCAGAGCCATTTTCTCTTTCAGTGTATTTAAACTTGCCCTGTATTAGCCAGCTGACCCGACCCGCGGGTCCTAGTTATTCGTGGGGGCAAGGAGGACCGCAACCTGAAAGAAGAACGGGCGAGAGAGGGAAAAGACTCAAGCAAACATTTGCTTGTCAAGAGTCATGTATTTGAACATGAAATGCTTTTTTATAATATGCTTTACAAGGGGAGGGAGTAAGAGGGGCCAAGTGGTGGAAAAGTACAGAATCTTCTTGGCCTGTGCCTTAAAACATATCATGATCTATATGATACACTGCCTTAAATTATGATCTACCTGCTATTCTTCAAAAAATATGGTACACTGCTTTGAGTTATGGTCTCCCTGCTATTCTTCAGAAGATATGGTACACTGCTTGCCAAGCAGGATCTTGCAGTTGCCAAGCTGCGGGGGACATTGTGCAGGTGGGGAAAGGTAGGGGGTGAGGGTAAGGGCGAGGGTCCTGGCTTCTGGCAGCCAGCTTACTTGTTTGGTTCTACTTGTCTCAATTGGTCTATCCATCTTTGGTTTATCATGAGGAACTGGTGCATTTCCACATGAGAGTCCTGCCTAAAATTTTATCAATGTTGATATTTACAAGTTTTGTCAAGAAAACGAAGACTCTGAAAATAATAGCTACTTAGAAGTCTGAGCTGTTCCATAAATCTTACAGACACGCACACACACACACACAAACAACCAAAAACACAGAAACCAACAAAAGCAGGATAACATCATAGTTAATTCATTTATAGCCAGGACACAATACTGCAAACTCCTGTTTCATTTGAGTGGAGTAAATACTGGAAATCAGTACCAGCTCTGTCACTCTGGTGGAAACAGAGTAGAACTTATAGGAGAAAAACCCATAATAAATATTCTAGGAAATCTAAGACACCAGAATTTCCCTAGCACTGCTCAAAAAAGATGCTGTTCATTAAAAATTGTATTTCAGGGGGCTGGGGCTGTATCTGTTTGTAGATGATTGAATACCATGTTCAAAAATCTGGGTTTGATAACCACATAGTTGGGCTTGGGCTTGGTGGTATCTGAAGTTAACACAGTAATATAAAAAAAATGTATTTCAGTGCACCAACAGCAGGGGGTGCTGTTCAACAAAGCTCCATCATCACTGTAGAAACACCTGGGGCAGGAGAATCCAACATCTTGAGGAGTAGAAAAAGCAGCCACTAGCCACACAAAATTATTCTTACAGTGTGTGTGTGTGTGTGTGTGTGTGTGTGTAGGTGCCACTGCTCATGTGTAGAAGTCTGAGGACAACCTGCAAGAGCTGGTTCCCTTCTTTCACCATGTATATCCTTGAAATCAAACTGGAGCCTGGCAGTACGTGCCTCTACCCCCCAGTCATCTTTCCAACAATCTACAAATTACTTTTAAAAGGAAATGGACTGGGAATCTAAGTTCTATAGCTGATAAATAATATCCAAGACCTAACTTCAGAGCAGAGGAAATTGGAGTACACCACTCACTCCAACATGGATCAGACAGAATCAGGGAAGCAACAGCGAAGAAGCATGCAGGACACCACCATTCAGAAATTCAGTTCTGAGCAGGACACAAGAAGAAAGCCATAAGTAAGAGTTGAATGAGGAGCATGAAGTGAGACAAGGGTCCTGAGAAAGAACTTACAGGGTGTACGATAGAGTCCAGACTCAACAGGACATACAAAGAGGATGTGGGTATAGAGGATGAAACTCATAGGATTAAAACAAAATGGTAAAAAAGAGAACTGCTCAGAGAGAAAACAGCTATAGGGAATGGAGAGGGCCCAACACATTTATAAGTGAATCCTGAGAAGAAGACAAAACCATGACTCAAGACCAACATTCTAATTTATAATGCACTATAGCTTATAAAAATTGTTTTCTTTTC